GAGAAGGGTGCAACAATGAATGAATGGAATCCCAAAATCTCTGTAGATGTTCATTGAAATGAAAAATAAACAACCTAAATTAAAAATTAAAAAAATGAACTAAAAAAAAAAGAACAAATAGAATACACTTGAGTCAAATGCCTTCTGTGAGGCAGAAGCTAAATTAAGCATTTTGTATTTTGTTCTCATGCAATCCTATAACCTTGCAAAATAGAGATCATTATCACCCCCTGTTCATTCAAAGATGGTGAATGACAACCCTGATATCTTTTTCCTTTATTAAATTTTATTAATTTTAATGAACATTTACAGAGATTTTGGGTTTCCATTCATTCATTGTTGCACTATTTTCTCTACCCTCCCCCCCCATTTCATTCCTCTTTTTTCCCCCTTTGAAAGTCCGTTTTAATTGTCCCATTGCCACAGTGCTGACAACCCTGATATCTTATCTTGATCTATTTATTGTCAGTTCGGAGAGTAAGGTGTGCCTGATCCAGGCCACAACCTTTGCAATCACTTGCTATGCATCAGAAAGCTTGACAAGGACTGGGGATGACAGAAGGAGAATTGATGCCTTTGAACTGTGTAGCTGGAGAAGAGTATGGAATATGCCATGGACTACTAGAAGAACAAACCAGTTCATCCAAGAGAGGGTGAAACCAGGCTGATCATTGGAGGCAAGGATTTTGAAACTTTGACATTTTTAGGCATGTTTCAAGAAGGGACTTCTTGTATCTTGATATCCTTGTAGAAGGATATCAAGCTTGGGAGGGTGGAGGCACAGTGCAAGAGAGGAAGACCCTTGATGAGATGGATTGACTCAGTGACTAAGGTAATGGGGATAGGTGTGTCAGAGACTAAGAGGTTGGCTCAGAATAGAGCAGAATTCAGAGCTGTTGTAGGGTCACTATGAGTCACAAGTGACTCAACAACACATAACAACAAAATTTCATTCAAGAGCCCACACTATGTCTAATATGCCAATATTTCAAATACATTAATAAAATTCTCCACAACCACTCTTTTTTGTTGATGAAACGCACTTTAACAGACTGAAAAAGAAAATCTCTTGAGTATAGGGACTCTGTGCATTTTAAGAAATTTTTATGTGTAACTAAAACTGATCTAAAAATAAAGTACATGTTTTAAAATTAGAAGGACATTTTAATTAAGAGAAGTAAAGAAAAGTATAGTCCTATTATATGTTCTCACTCAATCAAATTCTCTAAAACCTCATTAGTTTTTTGTATTTATGTGTTTATTTATACTATATTTCCTACATACAGGAAAAACTCTATTGTTAGGAATTACCTGAGGAAATGGTACCTCACATATGTAAGAATTTGACTCAAAGATTAAAACTAAGACATTTCCGACATTCAGATGGCTAACAAACACATGAAGAAATGCTCAAAATCCCTAGCCCTAAGAGAGATGCAAATTAAAACAACTATGAGATATCATTTCACCCC